AAACCGTGTCATTTATAGAAAATGTAAAAGCACTGTAGAAGTATATGCACACACACCACATACACACATAATATAGACAGAAAGGGTCTGGGAAAAATGCAAACATGGTGAGAAGACAGGTGACTTGGAGTGGCAGCCACAGTAAGATTTGAAATAAATATAATTTAAAATATATTAAGTATACAAAACTATATGTATATGTTGCTCACTAAATTAAAGGCAGGGAAAAAGAATTAAAATCAGGAACAAATTCATAGGTTAAAACCAAGCTCGGGCCAGGGATTTGGCTCAGTAGTTCCGCCACTGCCTGCCTCACAAGCACAGGGTCCTAAGTTTGACCCCCAGTACCAAACCAAACCAAACCAAGCTCAATGCTTTGCCAGCACCTATCCCAAAAAAGCAAATTATGTTCTTACTGGGCTGGATGGCTTATGTCCCCACATCAGGCTTTGGTCAGCTCTACCTTGGTTGCCTCCCACAGAGGTGTGGACCCTCAGGGCTTCATGAGAGGCTGTAGTCCATCCTTTTGGGTGGGGAGTAAGCACTTGTCAGGGACTTTTTGGTCCTGAGCCAAGGATGCAGATCAGCCGCTCCATCAGACCAAACCCAGTTTGGTTTTCTTCTGGCTGAAATGAGGGGCTCAGACAGCAGCAAGGCCCACTGTCCCTAGGGCTGGCTCCCTACACAGCTCCTCCTAACCTGTGCTCAGAGCTGAGTTGGATCTGACTCGGTGGGCAGAGGGAGGATTTTGTCATCAGTCCCACCAGCCACAAAACTTTAAAATGTGGTTTGCTTTTAAGTGTACTATACAGCATGTCTTCAAGCAAGAAGCCCCCCATTCTCCAAGCAGTGAATACATTAGGCAGATGTGTGGCTGTGCACATCTGCATGTGTCTTCACTGCTCCTCCACCACTCTGTGGAAACAAACCAAACAGATCACCAAAACTAGTTGAAAGTTTTATTTATATAAAATTCATTAAGAACATAAAAGATTGAGTTTCTTAAAAAAATCTGCAGTTATTTACAGCAGTATTGCACAAGTAAAGTGGCAATTACCCTGTCAAAATTTGTCAGTGCAAAACACAAGCCAGGGAAATTGCAATACAAATGCTACATATGCTGGGTCCTAGGAAACGCATTAGTGATGGATCAGTATACAGACAGATCAGTGCTATTTATAAATGGGTAGGTACCTGATGAGTCCGGATACAGTAACTAGTGGTCACAGAACCTGGACATAAAACCTAACAGCTCCTAAAGCCTAAAATCCCCAAGTAAAAGTAGTCAAGTTACTTAGGAGGGGACTTGAGGATGCTTCCTACATACAAAGCTGCTTGGGGCAGACCCTGACTGATTCAGCGTCACATGTGGTCACATCTCCAGGCACAGACACACGTGCTGAGTGGACACACACAGGCACCAGGCCAAACCAGCAGGGGTGACCAAAGCATGTCCATGGGCTCCCCCGGAAGTCCCCAGGGCCTCCCTGAACTTTCACATCTTGATACCCAGCAGGGCCCCACCTCTTTCTCAAAGGGGATGGAGATCGGGAAGTGTGCTCGGACCTGAAGCAGCAGCCTGACCAACCGCAGTGACCAAATTCATTGCTCGCTTCTGGAGATAAACGATCTGGTCCATCCGTACCTCAAAGCACGGGAGCCACAGCAGGTGGAAAACTCCATCATTCATCATTTGGCAAAGGGACCTGAGGTGATCTGCTCTCAAAGAAGGAGCCACCTGTTCTACCTGTGCCCTGCCCTGGACAACCACCTGGCAGCACCCCAAGGCAGCACATTTTCCTTTCAACACTGAGTTCTCAGGGATCAGTTTTCAATGGAAATATCTTCTCCATCTGCTAATACTTTTATTTATTTTTTCTTCTTAAAGATATGGCCTGGAATGAGCAAATATGCTTCTATGGGAAGCTAGCTGCTTTGGAACAAACCGAAGGTTGATGGATATTTCTAGTTTTTTTTTGTTGTTTCTGTTTTTTGAGATAGGGTCTCACTATGTAGTTCAGGCTGCCTTGAACTCACTATGTAGCCCAGGTTGGCCTCAAACTCACGGTGATCCTCCTGCCTCAGCCTCTCAAGTGCTGGGATTATAGGTGTGCGCCACCATGCCCGGCTCTTGGAAGTAAAATTTTATTACTTGCCATATTATTTTAGCAAAGTCCAAGAGTAAAGTTGGGGACCACGTCAGCAAGGGGACACAGTCTGCACAGAGCCACCATCTCCCACCTCAGGGGCTGCAGCGACTCTGGGGCAGGGGCAGGGGCAGGGGCAGGGAGGGGTATCAATGTCAATACTTTCAAGAAATTAAGACATTAAATAAGCAGAAAATAAATATACAATATTTCTACAAGTTACAGCATTAAAAACAGTAGGACACATTACACAGAAAAAGAATCTACAATATTTACAATCCTTGATTCTGAAAAGTTTAGGGAAACTGATTTTTTTTTTTTTTACTCATTTATGCTGTACAAAATTTTACAAGAAAGGTAAAGGAAACACAATTGCACACAAACATTTGGCTCAGTTGATAAGTAAAATATAACCTAATCTAATAAATAGTCAAAAATATGTACAGTATTAAGGGGAAACAAGAAAACTGTATTCCACCACATACATTTTTATCAAAAGGAATTTTAAATTGGCTTTGGCAACCCCCCACCCCATTCTTCATTAACTCGTTTCTTGGAAGGAAACCTAAAGAATTAGCCACAAAGCCATCTTGTGTTTATTGCATTTCGGTGTGAAGTCACAGGACACTTTTTACAAACCTCACACTGAGAGGTTATCAAGGCACAAAACCCGCATCATGTTTTTTAAAAAAAGGATCTACAAAAAATTTAGAAATAATAATAAAAGTAAAAGGTAAACCCCCAGTAAGGAGGCAAACTTTCTACAGGGAGGCATTTTGATAAAACAGATACAGTACAGAGACAACCAGTCATCTCTTAAGTTCTGGTGCCAGCGTCCTGTTCTTTAATACTTCTACAATTCATAGAATCACTTAGGTCCTTCAGAGTGGCTTCCTTGATCAGCCAGGGGCTCTGAGGTCACCGGCAGAGGTAAGCACACTCATGGGCACATGAGACAGGAACATCTCCTGCCCGGCCGAAGCTGCATCACACTCCCGGGCTGAAGACATATAAAGTGCTCCAGCCAGAGACTGGCACAGAGCAGAGATCTGGGAAGGGGTGGCCCAGAAAACATCTTTGGTATGTGTGTGTGTGTGTGTGTGTGTGTGTGTCGCGACTGCACCCCCAGACCACTGTAAGCTGTGAGCTGTGTGGGACCCTACAGGTAGGCTCAAGACACGCCAAGAAACAAGCTGAGCTCCAACACGGCTTTCAAAATATTTAAAACCCAAAGGAGATTTTAAGGAAAAAAAAATGTTTAAAAAGGAAGAATATTTGGAACCAAATCACTCTATGTAAAGGAAAAAAGTGTACAGACAATATATATACACATATATCTATATACACGTATATAAACTTATGAACGTACAAATGAATAGATTTTTCCTCTTAATTTAATAATGTGAAAACACTGATCCCCTGTCATGCAAAAAGCAAACGTCACAGCTGCTGGCAATGCTGGCTTATTAGAAAACTCTTATATTCCTTTCAAAAAGTTGTTTAATGATTAGTTTTCAAACATCATCAGTTACAGGGCTCAGACCCCTCCCCTCCTTTCTCAACCCCTCATCTTTGTCTCTCTCTTGGGTTATCCTAGTGCCTGCCTGACTGTTCTTTTGTGTCTGAACCAGGGCCTTCTGCCCCAGGCTACTCCTCTGCCTGCTGGCTTTTGAAATGATTGACCTATGAGTGGGCTGGCTGTGCCCCATCCTAGGGGAAGGCAGGTGGAGGCAGAGGTGGCCCGCTAAGATCCAACTGTCCTAAGAGAATGAATGAGACAAGCAAAACCAGATGCCTCTCAGAAGGCTGAAGGGACATTTCACTCTTCCTGGTATTCTATGGTACTTGTGAGGGCAGAATTAAGTCTGTACTTCAGAGTGAGCTGAGAAGAGCGGGCCAAGTACAGGTATTATATACAGGCCAGGGGTGTGGGCTGGACTAAAAGCCAAGGTGCCTGAAAAGTGGCCATCAGATGCCCATCCTGTGGGGTGGGCATGGGGCCACCTGGGACTGGATGTGGAGTGTTCCTTGTGACTCTCCGTGCACGAGGAGGTCAGGCCTGGTCTCCTATTGTCACTGCTGTCACCTCTACCAACATCAAAATGACAAGTACAGCCCACATGGAACATGTCCCCAGCAGTCTGCTAGTGACACACAGATGAACGAGCCAGGAAGACATAAACACCTACTGACTCTGGTTCGGGCCTGATGACACCTCGTGTAAGCATCCTGGAGCCAGCCTGGGCACCAGCATTCAGACTGGTCGGATGGGCATTGAGAAAGGGGGTCAGGGAAGACTCACAAAACCATCTGAAATTTTGTCACCAATAAAACTGAGTGTAAGGAGGTAAATAAATATTTACAAGATGGGAGTGGTATTCCCTCTGCCCCTTTAATCAGTTCCATTTCATAAGAACGCTTTAGGTATTAATGATAATTAGAAAAAAAAAGTTCAAAGAGGCAACGGCAGGGAAGGGAGGGTGACAGACCATACCTCTCTCCCAGTTTAAAAACTCTGTAATCTAAAAATAAACTAAGTCAGCTTTATAAATTAGCTGGCTCAGTTTCCACCGCTAGGATTACACAATCCTCTGAGGTTCTTAAAATTTTAGTACAAAAATCATTCATGAGCTGGTTAAAAAGTTTCCATTTCCTTTCTGAAAAAACCTGTTATTAAAGAAGGTGGAAAAAAACCCCACATTTACACACGGCATGTAAACACCATTCTCACATATGATCCTAATCCAAAAGAACCATGATTTGTACTTTAAAAAAAGTAAGAAAAATTCTCCCTCATTTTACATTCACAGTGAACTTCCACTGGAAATTCTGCCGTGTGGCCATGTGGCGAGGAGCAGAAAGGTCAAGGTCACGACTGGTGCAGGGTCACCCGCTGCAGCCTGCAACGCCTCTAGGCAAGGAAACTCCGGCAGAGGCAGTGTAGCAGCGGTGCCAAGAACCCATGGGCTGGGCCTGTCCACTGGAACAGGCAAATGTCTGCAGGTATCCTGGCTCCGCGAGGACCCTGTCAGTGCATTCTCCACACTAGGCGGACAATGTAGCGTAACAGTCGCAAGATAACCATTTGGGGGTGGTCTTCGGCTGGCTGGTAATTATTCAGAAATACCTGAAACAATAAAGGCAAAGCTTGTTAGTTCTCTCCTAATATTGGGGGGGGGGGCAC